ACTACTAGTGCTACTGCTACTGCTACTTTTACTGTTACTGCTATCATATAGTTTTAATCCTACTATTCGTTTTTTCTCTACGACAACGGCGACTACTACTACCACTACGTACTATTACTACGACTGCTACTACTACTACTACTACTACTACTACTACTACTACTGCTACTGCTGCTACTACTACTACTACTAGACCTCCTACTACTACTGCTACTGTTTATCCTGCGACTACTACTAATTATACTACGACGTCGGCGGCGACGACTACTACGACGACGGCGACGGCGACTATTACTCTGACTACGAGTACTACTACTACTACTACTACTACTACTACTACCACGGCGGCTAGTGCTACTACTATTATTACTACTACTACTACTACTACGACTACTACTACTACTACTACTACTACTACTACTACTACTACTACTACTACTACTAGTACTACTAGTACGACTCGTGGGAGTAGTACTAGAAGTAGTACAACTAGTACTACAACGGCGGCGACGTCTACTACTACTACTACTACTACTACCACTACTACTACTACTACTACTACTACTACTACTGCCACTACTACTACTACTACTACTACTACTACTGCTACTACTACTTCTACTAGTACTACTACTACTACCACTACTACTACTACGGTTCCTACTTCCTACCGCTAATGCTACTACTGTCCAAACTATTCCTCATACTCCTACGACGGCTACTACCACTACTACTACGACGACTACCGCTGCTACGTTTAATACGACTGCTACGACGAGTAACCCCCTTATTGCGATGACGAGTTCTGGTATTCGGAGTACTACTACTGTTACCATTGCTTCTGCGGCTACTATTACTACAACTATTGCTACGACCGCGATCACGTTTACGACGACTACGACTGGTACTATCACGACGACTACTACTACCAGTACAAGTTCTATGATACGTGCCCTTACTGAGACTAAGACTAATACTATTACTACGACTACGACTGCTATTACTACTACTACTTCTACTACTACTACTACTACGACTACTACTACTACTACTACTACTACTACCACTGCTACTACTGCTACTACTGCTACTACTACCAGTACTGCTGCTACTGCTACTACTACTATTCCTACTACTATCCCCCCCCCTACTCCTACGACTAGACCTGCGACTGCGTCTACGGCTACTACTACTACTACGACGGCGACGCAGACTCTTATTACGATGGGAACTACTACTCTACTACTGCTGCTACTACTACGACGACTACTACTACTACTACTACTACTACTACTACTACTACGACTACTACTACTACTACTGCTACTACTACTACTACTGCTACTACTACTACTACTACTACTACTACTACTAGTACTATTACTAGTACGCCTGTTTCGGCGACGATCGCGGTTACTACGATTTCGACAATTAGTATCACTACCATTGCCAGAACCAGTATTATGAGTACTGTTCTTATACGTAGTAATACTAGTACGACTATTGAGATCAATTCGTACTACTACTACTACTACTACCACTACTACGAATACGACGTCCACTGCTCTTACTACTACTACTACTACTACTACTACGACTACTACGACTACGACCACTACTACTACTACTACTACTACTGCTACTACTACTACTACTACTACCACTACTGATACTACTACTACTACTGCTACTACTGCTGCTGCTACTACTACTACTACTACTACTACGACTACTACTACTACCACTACTACTACTACTACTATTATTACTACTACTACTACTACTACTCCTGCTGCTGCTGCTGCTGCTGCTGCTGCTCTACTACTACTACTCTACTACTACTACCGACGACGACCGACGACGACGACCGACGACGACGACGACGACGACGAGACGACGACGACGACGACGACGATGACTACTACTACTACGACTATACTACTACGACTACTACTACTACTACTACTACTACTACTACTACGACTACTACTACTACTACTACTAATATTACTACTACCTACTACTACTACTGCTACGACTATTACTACTACTACTACTACTGCTACTGCTACTGCTACTGCTACTACTACCACTAACACGGTTACTACCAGTAGTAGTAGTAGTAGTACTACTACTACTACCACTACTACTGCTACTACTACCATAACTACTACTACTACTACTACCACTACCACTACTACTACTACTACTTCTAGTCCTACTACTATTACTACTACTACTACTGCCACCACGACGACGACTTTTACTACGAGTATTACGACTACTACTACTACTACTACTACTACTACTACTACTACTACTACTACAACTAGGACTACTACCACTAGTACTACTACTGCTACTACTACTACTACTACTACTACTACTACTACTACTACTGCTGCTACTACTACTACTACTACTACTACTACTACTACTACTTTTACGAATACGACTACGACTACGACTGCTACTACTACTACTACCACCACTACTACTACTACCACTACTACGACTACTGCGCCAACTAACTGTTCCGACAGTGTGGTCGGTAACGACACGTGTTCTTATGGCCCCCATGACGACGACGGTCCGCAGGGATACGACAACCGCCACACTTACAGGGACACCCAGAACGTACGACCTTTCGATCTTGCAGCCGGCGACTACGATTCCTACTCGGGGGGCCACGACGAGAGCGTGCATTCTGAACGGCTAGAGCCACCAGCAGAGGTACGTTGGCCACCAGTCGACCTTCAGGGGCCATGAGCTGATTTACGAGGGCCACACGCACAGCTACGAGAGCCATCTGGAGAGCTTCACGTCCCACGGTCGGAGTACCTGCCAGCAGTTCCATTGGATTTGCGAGGTGAGCTACGAGGACCGCGAGCTGAGCTACGAGAAACAGGGTCACGAGGGCCACGGCCAGCTGAACTACGAGACGGACAAGCTGTGCCGCGCGCATCACGAGTTGAGTTACGGAAGCCACAACCGTAGCTACAAGAGTTACAACATTCAGTACGACATACCCCACCAGCCGCGTTGCGAGAGCCACCGGCCGAGCCACGACAGCCACAAGCTGAGCAACGAGACCGCAAGCTCAGCCACGGAAGCCGCAAGCAGGAGTACAATCCATACTAGTTTAACCACGGGGATTGCTGCCTGCGGTGTTACGGTGGCCACCCGTTCAGCTACGAGGGCCCCCAGCTGAGCGACCCCAGGCACCAGCTGCGCCACCAGGACAACAGGCACAGTTACGGGAGCTGTGAGTACCACCTGCTGAGCTTCCAGGGTCACAGCCAGAGCTACGCGGACTGCAGGACAACTTACCTGACCCGCCTGCCGAGCGACCAGGGCAACGAGCTGAACGGCAAGGACCAGAAGCATAATTCCGAGACGCACCGGCTGAATTTCGAGGACCACAGGCAGAGCTACGGGGGCCATTGCCTGAGCTTTGCGGGCCACTTACAGAATTCCGAAAGCTTCCTGCAGCGTTCCCTCGGAGCCGAGCTGACGTTGCTGAGCTACGAGGGCCACTTGCTGAGCTATTGGTACCCCGCGTTGGGCTACGTGGGCCACAGGCAGTGCGTCGAACACCAGAGGCATAGGTCCTCGGACCGCCACCTGAGCCACGACAGCTACGAGGACCCCCTGCTGCGATACCACCAGGGCCACAGAGCTACGCGGACCAGGGCCACAGCCAGAGCTACGCGGAATGGGAGAGGGATGGGGAGGTGGGCGATGTGAACGAGTTGGAGGAGGAGGAGGAGGAGGTGGAGGAACTGGAGGCAGGATGACGAGGCGGAGGAAAAGTAGGAGGAGGAGGAGGAGGCGGAGGAGGAGGAGGAGGAGGTGGTGAGGGGAGAGTGGTGGAGGAGGACATAGGAGGAAGGGAGGAGGGGAGAGAGAGGAGAAGCGATGGGACGATGAGGAAACGAGAGAGAGGAGGAGGAGGACGTTGTTACCCATGACAGGGCCCCAGCGTCCGGCCCCGCTTGCGCTGCCACCGTCCCGACTATTGTCCGCCCCCCTTCGTTCCATCTTGTGGCTCCCCCGTGGGGTCGGCACTATCCGTTCCCACCCGTTCCGTCCGCGATTCGACTATCGATTCGATCCCGATATTCCCACCTGCTCTATCCGATTCGATTATCGATTCTAGAGTCTGGCCGGCTCGGCCCCGATATTCCAGCGATCCGATGTGGCAGCCGATCGGATTCGATGTCGATTCCGTGCCCACGCAACCCGGTCCGACGCACATTTCGAGTCGACCCGATTTCCCGATCCGAGGTTGCCTGATCTTGCCAAGGGTTGGATTCAATATGCCTCGCCCATAAGCCGCTTGACCACCCCAAACGGCAACAAAAGCATTCGAAGAGCCTTTCTTCATCTTTGCACGTCGAATCCGGAAAGGTCTCTGAGGACTTCTCCAGAAGCCTCACGAGGTCTCGAACGGTCCCTCCTCCATACCCCTCCCCTCTGATCCGCGGCACCCGCGCCCGCCGGACCCTCCCTCCCATCGACTAACGCCTTCCATCGTGAGTTCTGCTGCCTGCGTGTAAGAGCTGCCCTTCGTCGGAGTGGCGCCTGCTGTGGGCCGCAGGGGTCCCCCCGGCCCTGGCCTGCGCACTGGATTTCCTGGCGCCCCCGCGGCCCCCTCATGCCTCGCGCCGAAAGCACTCCTCGAGGAAAGAGAACTATGCACATACACCGATTCTGGCCAGGCCCGTCCTGAGCCCAGGATCGGTGCATACGCCCTCCTGCCTTGGCCAGGAAGGCATATGCACCGATCCTGGGTCAAGGATGGGCCTTGCCAGGATCGGTGCATGTGCATAGTTCTCTTCGCCCGAACTCTTTGCCTACGGCCACTCTGACGGAGACTTTCGCGCGCAGCCGACTGCGCACGTCGTGGGGAGGCTTGAAGAGCGACGGCGGCCGCCGCGCGCAGCTCTGCAGCGCAGGCGACTCGTGTCGGCGTCCCCCCCCCTCCGCGTTGCGCCGAGGTGGGTGGAGCCGAGGTGGCCCTTGGAGCCGCCGCGCCGCTGCCCCTCGGGGAAGAGCATCCCGCCAGGGGGCCCACCGTGTCGCACAGGCCACCGCCGCCTGACGACTCTAGTCAGGGGCAACGTTCGGGGGAAGATCTAGGCCGGTTCGAGGTGCCAGTTTTTCGAGCGGATTCGACGGTTCTCGATTTGTAACAGCCTGGGGATGCTCTCCTGCAGCTGCACGTTACCGAGGAGAGTCCAGGGTGGCCATGTTCCGAACGGCCGCCGGAGAGCTGAGTTATGGTTGATGGCCCGAGTACAAGGGGGACAAGATCAGGGGGGGGCGCATCGACTCCCGACCAGCCATTGATCGCCATTAGGGGCGCGAGATTCCCTCCCCGCCCAGGAACGTGCGGGTCCGCGATCGGCGACCTATCGCCGACCTATCAGGGATATGCGTCTCGCCGATTGCGAGTCGATGTCCCCCCCTCCCCCCGAGTTGGTTCCCCCCCTCGTTGCCCCTCGCCGATGATGATAATAATGATAAGAATAATCATACAAATGATCTGCATGAACATCAAAGTTGGGAGCTCCGCGCGGGTTTCTTGGATCTACGCTGGTCGCCCCGAGCGGCGCCTCCAGCTCCGCCTCTGGCGCATTCAGCGCGCCAGGGGGTCCAGCGCTAATCCGAGGAATCCGCGCGGAGCTCCGAAAGTTTCTGTTTATGCCGTTTTCTTGTGGACGACGCCGGCAGCGGCGGCGACGGGGCCTAGACTTCCGCCGATGGGTTTGCTGTTTTCAGGGCAATCAAGAATAAAGCATGGATCGGGAACGAACAACAACTCCCCGCTGGGAAAGGGTCGGAACTTCTGCGGCCTCGGAGAAAACAAATCACATCATCGGATGGCTGGGGTAAAATGATGAGTTTCTGCCCGATGAGAGCTCAATGCTCGCTCCCCTGTATTCGCAACGATCTTCATCCACAGCATCTTCTCACCACCCTGTCCCAGTCCCATCCACATGCGATGCGAAGAAGAGGGTTGGAGGCGTGATGGAAGGGGGTGGACGAGGGGGAGGAAGTGGAATAGGAGCGGCACTCGGTAGTGGGGACGCCCAGGTCACCCGCAGAGGTGAGAGAGAACCCCGACTCGCGCGTCGCCAAGTCTGCGTTGGAGAGTCGTCTTTCTCCAGGGGTCCCGCGCGAGGGCGCGAGGACAACCGCCCGACACGAGAAGCTGGGTGACGACGCGTGCGGGATTCCCTTCCCATCCCCTAGATCTCCGACGATGTGTCTTTTTCGATCCAGGCGTTTCTCCTCGATTTCGGCGTCCTGGACCCGCTATCGGGCACCAGGACGCTCAAACATTGATGCGGAGTGGAGATTTGCCCCCCCCCGGGGAAGGTTTCGGGACCTCTGCAGTCATGGGGCCGCGGATTGAACAGCTCACATTGTCGGGTGTCTGGGGTGACGTTGCCGACGACGACGCCGATGCTGTCTGTCGGCGGCGGCGGCGGAAGCAACGGCGACCGCGGAGACGGGTGCGAGAGCAGCGAGGATTGCGTCGACGGCGACTCCTCTGACGAAGGGAGCCACGATGGTGATTGACGGTGGCATCGGCGACGACCACGACCACGACGACGACGCTGCCGACGACGCATGCAAATGCTGTCGACGATGACGGTGACGGTGACGGGGAGGGGAGGAACATAGGGGGGAGGGGCAAGCTAGGTGCGCTCGCGTCATGTCTGACGTCCTAGCCCTCCTTCCCATCCTTTGCAATGGCGCAGATTCCCTCCCTATTCGCACAATCGGACGTCCAAGCATGGCATAGCATTACATGGCATAGCATGGTGTTGAAGATTAACGCGTATCATGACATAGCATGGCGTGGCGACACCCCAAAATGAGGGGGGCGCTTCTGCGGCCCAGCATGTCAAATAATCAACGCCGAATGTGTAATCCTTTCCGATGGTTTCTTCGGGAGGCCATAGTTTAGATTCTGGGGCTTGTTTGGAAGGACCGAAAACCATGCTGTGGCATGGCGGTGGAAATAATGACGCGAGCGCTGCAGGGGGAGTACGATTCGGAATGAGTGGAAGCGCGGAAATGAGGCCAGCGTTGCAGCGGGAGCACGATTCGGAACGAGATTCGGAACGAGCGGAAGCGCGGAAATGATGCCGGCGTTGCAGTGGGAGCACGATTCGAAATGAGCGGTAGCCCGAAAGGGAGGCCAGCGCTTCAGCGAGAGCAGCATTTCGAAAGAAAACCCAAGCGACAACCCGTCTACTGGGAATCTTGTGTTTTAAAGCCAGTGCACGGAGGAGGGCCAGCCATTCCCCGGACGCCACCAGAGGAGAGAGGAGAGTAGTGTTCGCACTGCTCACGAAGGACGGAGGAAGGAGGATAGGAGGGAGGAAGATCAGGAGGAGGGCGAGGCAGGGAGGCAGATGGGGGATGAGGGATTGGGGGGGCGAGGAAGGAGGGGGGAGGGAGGGAGGGGCGAAGAAGGGAAGGGGGGAGGGAGCGAGGGAGAACGGACCCCCTGGACTTTCGTCCGTTCCCATCGCCCAGGGCTCCCAGCGCGGCCATCGCGCTCATGGCGGTGAACGAGACGGGCAGCCCCCGCGCGCCTCCGCCCTCTCGCCTCCTGTCCCTGGATGGGGGACTTTGCGCGAGACTCAATCACTGACAGAACGCAAAAGCTCATTGGTCCGCGCGGATTCCGCGGTCCCTGGAGTAGGAGAACACACGATGACAGAACGTAAAAAGTCAGAGGTCCGCGCGGATTCCTCGGATCGGCGCTGGCGGGCCCCTGGCAGTGCCTCCAGCTCCGCGCGCCAGAGAGGGGGTCCAGCGTTGATCCCAGAAATCAGCCCGGGATTCCGAGTTGTTATGTTTGTGTCAATGTTTGTCCCCCGTATCCGCACAGAAATAATGAGTACGAAGGCCCACGGCAGTTCGTGCCTATTTTAAATATGGTTTGTTGCCGGAGCCGCCCCTCCCCAACAGTGGCCGCTGTCGGTTCGGGATCAGATTTGCTCTTGGGCATCGTAACGATTTGTTCCGTACCCATTTCGGGCGTCCAAAGTCCCCATCCCCATCGGACCATGTTGTCGCAGCCGCCCGCCTTCCTAAGTGGGGACAGGCCCCGCGAGACTCTAAAGAATTGGCATCTGATACCCCCACCGAGGTGGGTAATTCAGTTGGTCAATGTGTCCAGGGCCACGCTGGTGGTGATAGGGATCGGTCAAAAGGATGCTCGTGGGCTCGAAGAACTGGGTCCTTGGGCCAGTCTGGGGTCGAGGATCGAGGGGATCGAGGATCGAGTGTGTCCTGGACGCTCTCTGTCATCCCAGCCCCGCCAATAAACAATTCTGAAGGCCCGCGCGGATTCCATGGGTTTGCCCTGGATTCCCTTGGCGCGTTCCGCGCGCCAGGGAGGCGAGCCCAGCCAAGATCCAAGAAGTCCGCGCGGACCCTCGAAAGTTTCTATTGTTGCAGTTTGCTTGTTACCTAATAGCTCTTGCTGATAGGTTTCTAGTGGTCTCAAAAGAGAGCATCATGACTCCTCAGGGGGGTCTGGGCGGGACCCGGGGAGGCTGCCGTCGAAGCCCCAATCGCTTGGGACATCCTCGCAAAATCGCTCTTGGTGCTCCCAGAACTCCATTCCCGGGCCACATTTTGGATGCCCGGAGCCCAACTGTAGGCCACTTCGTGCTCTTCGATTTCCCAGAACTCCATTCCCGGGCCACATTTTGAATGCCCAGAGCCAACTGAGGCCACTTCGTGCTCTTCGATTTCCCAGAACTCCATTCCCGGGCCACATTTTGGATGCCCGGAGCCAACTGAAGGCCACTTCGTGCTCTTCAAGTTCCCAGAACTCCATTCCTGGGCATGATTTTGAATGCCCGGAGCCAATTGTAGGCCACTTCGTGTTCTTCTAGCTCCCAGAACTCCATTCCTGGGCCACAGTTTGAATGCTGAGGCAGGCTGATGCTGCGGCCGAGGCAGGCTGAGGCTGAGGCAGGCTGAGGCTGAGGCCGAGGCTGAAGGCAGACTGAGGCTGAGGCTGAAGCAGACTGAGGCTGAGGCTGAGGCAGGCTGAGGCTGAGGCTGAGGCTGAAGGCAGGCTGAGGCTGAGGCTGAGGCAGGCTGAGGCTGAGGCAGGCTGAGGCTGAGGCTGATGCAGGCTGAGGCTGAGGCAGGCTGAGGCTGAGGCCGAGGCTGAAGGCAGACTGAGGCTGAGGCTGAAGCAGGCTGAGGCTGAGGCTGAGGCAGGCTGAGGCTGAGGCAGGCTGAGGCTGAGGCTGAGGCAGGCTGAGGCTGAGGCTGTGACTGCGACTGCCGTTGCCGCTGCGACTGTCATCGCGAATGCGACTACGACTGCGAGAACAGCAGAATTCTACAACTGGATTTTCATCTGAATCTTAAGGGGAATGCTTTCAGATATGCTTCTACACATCGCTGTTAGGTTGCTTTGCCGGGATAGTTTTTTGCTGGACGTTTTTGGGCCTTCCAGGGTTCCCCTCTGAGCCCGCTCGGCCGCGGAGCGGGCTCGATCTTGAGACCGTCTGGCGGCCGTGCGGGCTCAGACGCTGGATGGGCTCAGAACGGAGCCCTGGTGCCCTGCAGGCTACCAGAGTCCTCCCTTGCCCTTGCCCGATGTGGGTTCGTCATCGCTGCCCTGTTGTGCCGCGATTCCGAGCCGTGCCTCCCCTGCGATTTTGAGGTCGCCGAGGGGATGGCCTGCGGGACTTGGCGCTTTCCTGTGAGTAGCGGACATTCGACCGCATGGCTCGCAGCGTGGTCGTTGCCAAGCCAGCATGGGTGCCCCGACTGGGTAGCCCAGCCGAGCCTTCTCCCCCAATGCCAGAGGCTCCTGGGTCCCGAATGGGCTTGAGGACTTTTCGTAGGTCGGATTGCGGGGACCAAGCCAGATAAGTCGAGGCAGGTCCAGAGAAATCGAGGTGAGGCCAGATAAGTCGTGGTCCATTCAGAGATATCTGGAGAAATCTGTTCCAAATTGTGGACTTTCCAGCGCGAGTCGGAGCACAGCAGAAGTCGTTAAGCCCTGAACGAGAGGATCAATGTTATTGGACGTTCTGGTTCTCCTTGGGGGTGGGCGGGGCCATCTCGGGACTGGCTCAGGCGGCCCGACCACCATCCCGGATGTGAGTGGAAGTCGAGATCTCCCTTGCGGCTCCTCGAGGCGCAGCAAAGCTCGGAGGTTCGACGCATCGAACACAGATACCCATATCCAGTGTATTTTGGATACCAATGTCAATGTTCCGTTTTTTGCTCAAGACTGCACTGCTCTTTTGTACCGCCTGCTCAGGGCCGCAGTGCTCTTCTGTACCGCCTCAGCACATGCCTTCCCGCCGGTGTTTCGCTGGCACTGTCTATTTCGGATGGCGGCGAGGTTTTCGGGCATAGACGGTCCACGAAAGGAGCTTCTCAGCTTTCATTGTTTCCGTGTTGACTTGATCTGGCAGCTGCAGCATAGATGGGGCGAGTGCGGCATCACCTGACGTGATCTGAAACACCCAGACGTGGTCCAGCCTTACGACTGGCGCTGTGTTGAAAACCATTGCGCGGCGGTTCGGCCCCTCAGCAGTTGTGTGTCTACTGTGCATCAATGGACTGTAAAGACTTCCCAATCGTTTTGCCTCAACTGATGTGTCTTCGGCTTTGCTGAAGTTGCACGAAGGTATACGTATTGTCGCCGCGATTGGCAATTACATTTCTAGATAATGACACAAACAGGCTGGCAGAAAACGTTACTCTGCACAGCCTTTTCCGCCTCGACTGCCCTGAATATGTACACGGTGCGTTCTGTCTGAAATCTCAGGCATGGACGGTCATATCCGCCAGCCGCCCGGTACTTTAGGGGTGACGGGCAAAATTTGTGCCAGGGCTCTACCGTTGCATCGCGCTTTGGAGTGCAGGATTTGCATGTGACGCACGACCTTATCGTTCACAGTCACTTACGTTCCGATTGGTTCCGCGGCCACGGGTTTGGGAAACAACTGGACGGCCAGAAACACATCACGCATCGGCTGCGCCAGCATGTTAAGCAAGCAACACTTGTCGGCATGTCCTGATCGCGTGGCCGACGGGGATCGGCTTTTAGAGCTCTGCAAGTCTGATCGTTTCCATGCTCGTTTAGAGCTTTGTCGGGAAAGGAGCAGTGTTGTAGGACCCCGATACCCCCACTTTCTGGAATCCACAAGGTCCAACGGGGTCTGAGAATAGACCGTCTATCTGACAACGCCGCAATACTGGTACAACGCCGCGACGTTGTGAAAGCATGCGGTTATCAGAGTATGTTTTTTGTTGTCCGGGGTGCCATGTTGATAAAGCGGGAAGCATCCGATTATGCTAACGTTGTGACTTGTTGGCGGTGGGGGGAGAGGCGAACACACCGATCATCGCCTAAGCAGGGGAAGCCCAATCTTGCATCAACAGGTCATTGTGGCAATAGCAGAACGAGGACATTCATCCCCATTAGCAATTCACATAGTTCTAAGGTATCGGATTTACTGCCACCGTTCGTCTTGACCACCAAGAGCCATGGGTCAACAGACATCGGCACGTGGATGGGGGCACTTGCGCATCTTGAAGGACAGGACTTCGTCTCACTGCTGACGGCGCCGCAATTTCCAACGCCATGTCGGTGAGTGCTGGGCCACGGCGCCCGCGAACACTACACAACCACATGGTTCGACACCCTTCTTTCGTTGATTCTGTTCACGCAATGCCGCGCCCTTCTTCGATCACGAAAAGACCAGGCCTGGGCGATATGTGCATAACGGCTCAAGCACCGGCAACGTCGCAAGTGAAAGCCGTCGAAGGATGCCGCGCTCCGCTCGGAATACTCTCTGCTGAGAGCTCTGAGATCTTGAATCGAGATGCCAGGGAAACGGATCCGAAACTTCGAAATTTCGGAGGACAGAGCCACCGTGGGTCGCAACAACGAGCGCGTTCAGTCTGCGCAGTTGGGCATGGCAGCCCACCGTGACTGCGAAGCGAGGGCTACACTGGCCATTCTCGGTGAAGTCCAGTCGGTCGACACCTCTGGCGAGGCCCTGTCGTAGTTGCTCTCGCGAACGCCGAGACATGCAGGTGCACCATGCTGGCATCTTCACCTCCTGAGCTCATCAACAAGACCATTGTTTTGAATTTCGCGTGGCTCTAAATTGAGGCCACCGCCTAGGACGAAGCTGGCGCCCTCAGGCGCACGAGAACTACCAGCTGCACCTAGCAGGTCAAGTTGCTTGCTAATGAGACGTTCCGCGTCATACCCGTGTGCTAAGACGGTAAGGAAAGGGCGCCTTTCGGCAGGTGCGCAACACCTCCTCCTGCTTTGCCTGGTGCAATTTCGCATCCCCTTTTGGGACATGAACGCGCGGGAAATCCATGCCGAGGAGCAGCCCATGTGGATTTCCAACAGAATCCAGAGCATCAGCGCAGCACTCCAGATGAATGCCCGACCCAGTTTCCAGCAGCTCCGCCCAGGGTCCTTCGAGCAGCATTCCATATGGGTTTCCCGTTCAAGCTCCAGCAGCATTTGGAAGCCGAATTGGTAGCGCCAGGATCAGAAAGATGGTGCTCCTGA